TCTGTCGATGCATACTGAAGATAGGGATGTGATGTCACTGGATGTTCCCAATGCGTTCATCTAAACCCCGATGCCAAAAGTACAAACAAGGTAAGACAGGGTCACTCATGATCATGAGGGAACCCTTGCAGACATTACTTGTCGAAATTGTCTTGACACATATGCCTCTTTCCTTGACATACAAAAAGGGACATCCTGTCCTCTATGTCTGTTGTGGAAGAGCCATTTACGGAATGGTTTTGGCAGCACTGCTATGGTACAAGCTCTTCAGGAGCGACCTGGAGGGAATCGGATTCGTTTCAACCAGTATTATCCGTGTGTTGCCAACAGGATTATTGAAGGATATCAAGCAGAAGATACGCTTCCATGTGGACGACTGATGTCGAAGCCACCGGATGAAAATCTGGTAAACAATCGCAACCCTGCGAGTGGTTCAATGACAAGTACGGTACCTATGGAGCCGTGAAGCAACCCGTGGTCCCAAGCATGACTACTTGCGGAATGACGGTGGACTTTTCCGAACCAGGAAAGGTTGTGATTGACATTATAGACTATGTCAAGAAAATGGTCTCAGAGTTTCCAGTGGACTTTTGGGCAATGAAAAAGGTACCAAGGGCAGCTCCTGCTGACCTTTTCAGCTCTGGTGATGGAACCACCCTGAATGACAAAAACAGGGAGACTTATCATACCTTTGCAGCCAAAGCTGTTGTTTCTGTGCAAGCGTGTCGACCAGATGTGCAGACTCTCACTACTTGTTATGCACTCTGTCAAAGCCCAACACCTGATGATTGGGACAAGTTGGTCCAAGGCCTCAAGTTTTGGGATCAGACGGCGCAGGAACACAAGTTGATTCCTACACATTGATGACATACGCATCACACTTGGTGGTGGATGCATCATTTGCAGTCCATCCTGATTACCGTTCCATACAGGAGGAGTCATGTCTTTGGAAGTGGCGCGGTGCTGTCTGTGTCTGCGAAACAGAAATTGAATTCGAGGAGCAGCACGGAAGCGGAATTGATTGGAGCTGACGATGTCATGTCGCCCATGTTGTGGGCAAAGTTGTTCCTTGAAGAGCAGGGGATCGTTGTGAAGGACAACATCATCATGCAGGACAACAAAAGCACGATCATCCTTGCAGAGAATGGCAAAGGCAGTTTGGGCAAAAGGACTCGGGCCATCAACATTCGTTTCTTTTTCATTCATGATCAGATTGGAAAAGGAAACCTCAGAGTTGCGTACTGCCCAACCTTGGAGATGCGTGGAGACTTTTTCACGAAGCCCCTTCAGGGCAAGCTCTTCCATGAGCACAGGGCTTTCATCATGGGGCATCCACCCCTTGTTTGATTTCCTAAATTATTTATTCGTTCCACGGTAGCCACTTAGGGCACCGTGCAGGAGTGTGTTGGAGGAAATATACCTGACACCTCTTTACTATTGACTCGTGTATTAATCATCTAGTCCGGTTCGCATGCAAATTCATCATGCAAGGAACCAAGGGAGTTTTAGGTCTAAAGTGTTACGGGGGTCCTTATATCCAATTCAATCACAAGAATTGCTATGCACCACCAGAAAATCCTCACTTTTGCTTTTCAGCTTAATCTAAAACCAAATTACTCCCCAATAAGCTGCAGTATTACTAGCAAACAAAACCCCTGGGCGTGTTGCCGTCGGTGTGAACCCAATTGACCAAGTCACCGTTCGTCCCCGGCTCCCTGCATGTCCCACCCAAGTCCCACCAGACAACGCCATGTACCTCCCTGCCCGAGGTCGTTTCCTGGAGTGGTCTGCCACTATCTGGATGGAGCTGGGACGAGAAATCGAACCTGATCCTGAAGAGGCCGCAGCCCCTGGAGGCGGTGGGCTCAGTGCTGACCAGATTAAGGCCGTTGTTGAACCACTCGTAAAGCACGATAAAGCATTCGGAGCTGCTGAGCGAACCACTGCCCGCTTTCGAATCCTGCTGGCTGGTGCCCCTGTCGGCGACCAAGCTCGAACTGCCGCCATGGTTCTACCGGACCTCAAGGAAGACTTTTCGTCCTACTTGAGTCTATGAGCCAGTTCTACTGCAGGAGACGACCTGCGGGAATTGATCAAGGCTCGGCTCGTTGTAGCCAATGCCAGTGCCAAGTCTGTTGATACAAGTGTGACATTCCGCCCTGAGAATGTAACGCTAGCATTCAGTGACCGCATTCGGACCTTCGCTTGGCTTGCAGTGAGGCTCCTGTCGGCATCACATGCCACTGCCAAAACGAATCTCTGCCTTATTCATTTCCTATCCCCTGAGCGAGATGCTCTGTCTCTTGTGGCTGAAGGAGACCATCAAGCACGAACCATCTTGATGGCCAACTCCACCAACAGCACCGCCCAGATCGAGGCAACCAAGAATAGTCAGCTCTACACCGGTGGGACCCTGTTAAACTTTCGGCATGTGTACGAGGCCTTTTGCAACCTCCGCCTACTGTTCTCTGTCATGGTTACTGATGTTACGGTACCTATTGTCAATACAAAGATGTCGGAGTATGTTGGCTTGCTCATGGATACTGCTGGCAAAGACCTCTGGGAGGTCTACCGGAACCACCCATATTTGGCTGCCCACCCTTGGCAAGAGCTCCAGTCTATCCTGGGGGCTTTCTTGAAGCCGGCTACCAATGCTACTTTGTATGCCTCGGTTATTGCTGGCACCGGAGTGCAGTACGAGAATTTCCTAGCACTGGGAATGAAAAACTCTGCAGAAACGCCCTTTTTGAGTCCGCAGAAACACTTTTTTTCCTGAAGCAGGCTGGCGTGCACTCTGCAGAAGCCCTCGAACTCTGCAGTTCCGAAAGCCGGCATGGCTTTTTCTGCGGGAGGTGTTTTTTTCTGCCGGGAGGTGTTTTTTTTCTGCCAGGAGGGTGTTTGTCTCTGGCAGATGATTTTTTTTCTGCCAAAAGCACCTGAAAACTGCACAGAATGGCTCGCAGAGTCGATTCATTGTTTGGCAGAAGGATTTTTCTGGAGCAATTATCGTTTGCAGCTTGACAATTATTAGAGATGGATACCAGGCAGGCTGACGAAACTAGCAGCAAATAAATAGCCAGTCTTTTTTTGAAATCTCAAGGCTCTCGATGACATCAATTGACATTTAATGCCATGGCACACTTTGGACCTAGCCCTAACGTCTCTCCTGCAAAACGAGAACCCCCATTAACTGTCTCATTAACCCAGACACTAAAACGAGACCCCATTATGATGTCGAGGAATACATTAACCCACACTCTAAATCAAATCGAATTCGAACCTATTCGATTAAGATCGACTCAGTCCCACCAACACCACATATTTCAAAAGCACGAGTCACAGTGATGACGTGGCCCCTGTTGACTTCGAAGAACATCCTGTCAGGTTCAACTCCCACAGTCTCCCACATCATGAATAACTCTCTAACAAAAACAGTTGTACATTAACACAGGAGGAGGAGAAAAGAAACTAGACAGAAAAGGCAAATGGCAAAGAAAAGACCAAGAATGTGAGTCTCCGTTTCATTTCCTCATTACCCGAAAGTAATATTTACCTCTTTGTTTTGTGCCTAACATACATCGCCTTCTCTCTCTGCTGCTTTTCTATTCCAGAAAAGGCTCAGTTCAGATAACTCGAGCAAAAAATTAGCTACCAAGAAATCATAGGTAAGTCAAAAATGGATACTGTTCCAGCGTGATAAGATGAGTTGTAGCTAAGACATCCTTTATTGTGTTGTGCTATGCTTTCACTTTCTCAGAAAAACGAAGAACACCAAGTGAAGGTATAGACACACATACACAAGACAGCAGATCAGAAAAAAGATCACGCGCAGTCTACTCTCGTCCCCTCACTTATTTTCTTTGCTACATGTTCATTCCAGGGCGCAGTAGGAGTCGATGGAGTAGGATTTGTCGGTTGGCTTAGATGTAGAGATTGAAGAGGAGTTTGGTTTGAAAGAGAAGTTTTTTAGCTTTGGGTACTACGGAAATGATGATGATAACGTCGGCATTGAATCCCTCAGTGAGCTTACACAGCACGTCAGCACCACAGAGGACCTCACCTTCAACTCCCTTGGATTACATTCAAGAAAGTCAGTGAGGTCAGCAAGCGTCCCAAAAAGAAAGCTCCCAAGACGCATTGCGTGGTAGAATGCTGCAGAGCATGCACAGACAGCAGCATCGATACTAAAACTAGAAATCTCTCCTCACGGTTGGAAAAGAAGACCATCTCTCAAGACGGAGTGCACTTCACGCAAGCCCAGTAGAAGAGATTTGCGAGCAAACTTATTATGCACTAATGTTCCAGCAGTTCGCATGACTCTTTTCATCATCTAGACTGACACGAGAAGCTCGGGCCGCCGCAGACCTTGGAGAGACCACGGAGGCAAGCGCACAAACTTCACGAAAAAAAGTGGACACCGTCCCTTGTGATGTACCGTAATTAAAGCACACGCTTAGATCGTCAGCCTCCCTCGCAGCCTCTCGGATTAGATATCTTACAGACACCCGCACCTAGTTCAACAGAGATACCTCTTACTTTATTTGTGAGAGCAATCAAAGCAACCTCCGGCTTGGCTCCCTTCACACGCTGCATCTAGTCACTGCCGGGCCAGTCTCCATTCTAACCCGTAAAAAGCCTAGAAAACAGTATTACCCCACTATTGACCCTTAAATATTACCCACCCTACGATTCTTTCACAAATAGTAGTAAATTCCCGTAGAATCCTCTATTTATCCCCCAACCCCCCAAAACTGCTTTCTTTTTGCAACGGTTTATAGATGTGTGAATGAAAGCACGACTCTCTTGGGCAGTTATTTCATTCCAGTTCCT